TTGAGTTGTAGAGAGCAGGAGGGAAATCCCTTGTCAGCCCCATCGATTCCGTGTCATACTGGGTTTGATGCGTGTCGTTGCGTTACGACGTTCCTCGAGGGTTCGTCTTAGTTGCAGTGACAGCCGCAAGATTCCAGCATCCCCAGCGAATATTTGTCTAGCAGCCGCTTGAAACTTTCCTCGGATGCAGTTTTCATGTGTGCCCTCGGGTGGAACAGTCAGTGTTGGGCCGGAAGAATTGTTTTAACTCACTTCCAAGTTCCGCTCGGATGATGCGTCTAGTGTAGATGAGGTCACCCCGGCGATGGCGGAGCTTCAGGGAGAACAGATTTAGCTTCTGGAGTCCATCGGGGTACGGGAGATCACGTAGCCCCATCACAGCTTTTGATGCGCGTCTCTTAACCTTTTCCAGCAGAGCGCTTTCAAAGTTTGAAAGCGGATGGCTAGCTGGTAGTCCATATACTAAGACTGGCAAACGTACGAAGTGAACAACGGTCGAAAAATCTCGGGAGTCATTCGAGCGAATGATCTTCTTAAGGCACCTACCAGTCTTCTTCCAGTGGCCACCTGCTTCAACGTGTCCTGCGTTGTTCTAAGGTCAGGAGTCACGATAACCCCGAGATCTCTGTCGTGGGTGGTATTCCTAAGGAGAAACCCACCAATGTGGTATGCACCGTCGGGTTCGGTGCCACCCATTGGTTGAACAACGCATTTATCTCGGTTTACTGGCAGTTCCCACTTGATGGACCATTCGTGTAGCTGGTCTAGAGCCCCTTGTAATGTGTCCGCATCCTCAATGCTGGATACTGTTGACCAAAGCTTGAGGTCATCGGCGTAGATCAAGCAGTCCGTTTGTAACACAGTATAGTAATGTATAGTTTGAAGAGCTCTGATCCAAGCACTGATCCTTGGGGAATGCCACAAGTCATGGGCACTGAAGCAGAGTGGATTTGGTTCACTTGTACGCGCATTGTCCTACCCCTTAAGAAATCGGCAATTCATGAGAGAAGATTTCCTGTAATGCCAATTCCCTGGAGTTTATGTAGCAGTCGTACGTGTGGAACCTTAGCAAAGGCTTTGCTAAAGTCAATGAATATTACGTCTATCTGTTTTCGGGTATCTATGGCTTCTGTCCATGTTTCCCTGGCGATGAGGAAGTTAGTGATGCATGAGTGTGCTCTCCGGAAGCCATGTTGAGCAGGTGAGATGAGGTTTAGATGCTCACAGTATAGGTGGAAAGCGCACTTGACTATCCGTTCCATAGTTTTGCATACGACTGACGTCAGACATATTGGCCGTTAGTTGGCCGGGTCTTGTTTTCTTCCCCGCTTGTATTTGGGCAGGACGGTGCCTGCTTTCCAGCCTGGTATCCCTCATGAATTCGGCACCAGAGCATTTCCGACATATCTTCCTTGTCACAATGGGGTTCGACAATGTGGGCCTTGAGATAGTTCTTTGTGTAGAGGATTCCTCCGCCTCCAGACCTCCCACAAAAGCGATCGCATCTAAGTAGCTGATATGCTGAAACATGAACCTCCGAGTCAGATATGTCGGATGAAAGCCAGGTTTCGGTGAACGCCATTAGGTCCGGTTGCTGTTCAGAGATAAGGAGTGGAATCTCATCTAGCTTCTTTCTGAGACTGCGCACATTCGCGAGTATTACCCGAAGTCCGTTCTTTATGTTTGAGGTCCTGGAAGAAGGAGGATTGGCCTCCATCGTGCTCTCTGAGTTTTCTTGATTACGCGAAAATCCAATATGTGTAGGTCAGTTTCTCCATTTGCGCGTCGAGTTCGCAGCTCGCGGACAGCTTGCCTCATTCGGACTCCGTCCTCCGGGGAGAGGTCTTTCAGAACGTAGAAGGTTTCTCCCTTGAGGCGCGGGGTCCGTCTCAGGATGCGTTGGCATTCTTCTTCATCCTGACAGACGATTTTCAGAGGACGAAACTTGGCTGGGTCCTCTTGTTTTCTGCCAAGGCGAAAAGCAGAGATTACGTTTATTCCCTGCTCATGCTCATCAAACAACATGCAGATCATTCGTTTGAGGAAGGCTTGGCCGTCGAGCATCCTTTCAGCTGGAGTCTCTTTGTTGGATGCTGGGACGTTTGTGATTATCAGGCAGCGGTTGCGAACAAGCCCCTTGTCTCGTTCCGTTGATGCTGACTTTGGTGGACATTTCTTTTCTCTGACAAGTTCCTCAAACTGCCCTACTCTATTTAAGAGGAGCTTTAGTTCCACTAGTGTGGGCAGAGGAATCATTTAATCGGTTGACTTCAATCTTCCGGTGCTTGGTGTTTCCGCATACTCCAAAGGAGGTGCCGATTTCCGTGCACGCGACAGCATGGTATGAGTCGACGAAGGTGGACCAAAAAGACCTGTGATCAATTTGAGACGGATGCGAAGATCCTATTCCATTGAATTTCATTGTCATTAGGACAAATTCACAAGCATCGCCCGTCATCTGAGGAGCGATATGTGCGAAATGAAGGATCTTAGAGAAACTTACCCGGCCCAAGGTGCTTGCTTGCACTGAGACATCACTTTTCTCCACGTTCCTTGCTTGCGCATATTCATCAATATTAACGCTTTGTATCACACCGCTATGCTGACAAAGGTACATATGTTTCCTGTAATCACTACCCTTTCAGAGACTCCGCGCTACGCTCCGGCCGTTGCCTTTTCTCCATTCTTGCCGCCGTCATGCAATGTGGCCTTGATACTTATATACAGGTAGCATACATTTTCAAGGCTCACCACCGTTTCAGAGCCACTGACATGTAGTGAGCATGACATTTTACCCCATCAAACATCACACTCAGACTTGTGCACATTTTGTTTTACTTTGCACCCATCCCAAGCCTATATATACTGGACTGCAATCTTGAACCGGGTTCACCATCTTGTCCGCACGTTGCCGGCGGTTGCGTTCCTACGTGGTGTTACTCGTTGCTTCACCACTCTCTCCCATTGTCCTCAAGCTATATTCACAT